AAGTTCGTTCCCTACCTCGACATTGCTAATGAGGTTTTCTCTATTCGACAGAACTAAATCGAGTATATTATTACCCCGTGTGGGTTCTGTTATATGTTGACTTAGGAAACAGTCCTGGATCGTCTCGAGAAAATCCTCTGATTATGAGTTACCCGGAAGGTCAGTCCATTCTATTTGGCCAAGGTTAAGGTCGCCTACTATACAGACTTTGTTGTGTATGGAAGCCCTGCGCATTTCATCCCAGATAAGTCGCTCATTGACTCTATCAAGATTGGGAGGTCTATATATTACTCCTGTGATTAATTTTTCCCTACCGTCGCTTAATTCTATCCAAATTGTTTCTGTATTCCGCTCAGTTTTTATTTCATTATTTATTTCACACTTCAGATTATCCCTAACATAGATTGCTACTCCGCCTCCTTTCCTGGTCTGCCAATCTGTATGGAACAATTTGTAACCCGCAATTTGGTATTCGACGGGCAACTCACGTGAGTCTAGATTGATCCATGTTTCAGTGAATGCTATTCTATCGATTTTGTCGGTACATACCAAAGCCCTAATATCATCCATTTTGTTTCTCATACTTCTACTGTTCGCGTAGTAGACATTTAAGTTAGTCTTGTTCTGAGTCCTCCCTTTACCGCGTTTAGTTTTAAACTCCCTGTTTTATTTAGTTTTGTCATCATTCCTAACACTATTTCCCTGCAATCTTTTACTTTGTTTACCCGCTCCCACTGCTGTTTTCCCCACCCCCGTGCCCATATGTTCTCCTAGCAGTTTAAAGACTTCGATATCCTTTGAACTGCCCCCTCTAGAGACCCAGCCAAGGTTACCACCCCATCCCGAGACAGGTGCATCCCATCCCTAGCATAAAGGTCCCTTCTGCCGTAGAAGTTGTCCCAGTTATCAATGAATGGGACAGATATTGACTTGCAATATCTGTCAAGACGGTCGTTGACACGAACCGCCCTTGACAACCAGTCACTGCCAACTCTCCTTCTAGGCAGGACACAGCATATGATAGGGATCCCTCCCTTAGACCTAATACGATCTATAGCTGCCTTGAACTTATCAAGAATCTCCTCGCTCCTACACTGGCATATATCATTGCCTCCTGCACTTAGGCAGATAATGGGTTTGTTCCCATTACTAGACAAGATATTGTCCGTCCTGTCAATTATATCCCCCACCCCAGCTCCTGGCAAACACACCCTCATCCTATTTTTGTTTTTACCACAAAAGGCCCTGTCCATGTACCTTACCTGTAAGTCACCAACAATTAAAGTTTTTATACCTTCCTTGTCATCCCTGTCCCTGACTGTACTAACGTCCAATTCGTCTATCAAGGGACTGAATGAGTTGGTACACTTAGCTGTTGTTGTCGTTGTTGTCGTATCCTTGGTGTATTTTTTCACCACCAGCTTCGTTTTCCCACTCCTCACAACCTTCCACTCGCTTGAGTTTTCGTCAGACGCTGGCTTTCCCTGTCCCGCCTCCCCTTTTAACCTCGCCAGCTCTTCCTTTAATTTCAGGTTCTCCAACGTGACCCTCTCAATTTCTTCCTTGGCCCTCGCCAATTCTTCCATGGACCACTCCGATAGGGATCCCTAATTTCAACCTAATGCATTCTAGAGCTGTCTTGAACTTATCAAGAAGCGCCTCACTCCTACACCAGCCAATATCATTGCCTCCTGCACTAAGGCAGATAAGGGGTTTGTTCCCATTACCAGACAAGATATTGTCTATCTTGTCAACGATATACCACAAAAAGCTCTAACTAGGTACCGTACTTGGGAGTCGCCAACAATTAATGTTTTCGTACCTTCCTTGTCAGCCTTGTCCCTGACTATGCTAACGTCCAATTCGTCTATCAAAGGACTGAAAGAGTTGGTGCACTTAGCTGTTGTTGTCGTATCCTTGGTGTCTTTTCTCATCACCAGTTTGGACGTCCCTCTCCTCACAACCTTCCATTCGCGTGAGTTTTCGTCAGACACGGGCTTTCCTCGTCTCATTTCTTCCTCCATCCTCGCTATCACTTCCTTTAGTTTCAAGATTTCTTCCTTGGCCCTCTCTAATTCTAACTCGACCCTTTAAAGGGCACAGCCCTGTTCACCAGTAGAACTAGCCATAACTGACCATCTGTGAGGGAATTATTACACCACGTGAGGTTCTTCATAATACCATCTGCAAGGGAATTACTACACCATGTGAGGTTCTTCGAGGCAGTAGATAATGACGAAAATTACGATGTTATTTACTTAGACTTTAGCAAAGCGTTTGGCAGAGTACCGCATCAGAGGCTTCTGAGAAAAGTTAAGGCTCATGGTATCGAGAAGAAAGTTTTAAATTGGATAAAATCATGGCTCACCGATAGAACACAGAGGGTCAGCGTAGATGGTGTTAAATCTGTGTAACCAGTGGGGTTCCCCAGAGGTCAGTAGTGGGCCCACTCCTGTTCATAATCTACATAAACGATCTAGATACTGGGATCAGCAGTGACATAATCAAGTTTACGGATGACACCAAAATAGGGCGACAGATTAATTCAGGGCAGGATGCAAATGCACTGTAGGGGGATTTAAATAAACTGCAGGAGTGGTCAGAAAATGGCAAATGAAATTCAACACCAGCAAGTGCAGCGTACTTAATATTGAAAGAACAAATACTGTCAATGTATACAGCCTAAACAACATCAACTTAGAGAAGTCGACTTGTGAAAGAGACTTTGGGGTACTTGTAAGCCCGGACCTACTGCCTAGAAAACAGTGCGTTAATGTTCGAAATAAGGCAAACAGAGTATTAGGTTTTATATCTAGAAGTGTAAGTAATAAGAGTGCAGAGGTCTTATTGCAACTATATCTTGCGCTAGTCAGGCCACACCTCGATTATGCGGTTCAGTTCTGGTGCCCTTATTATAGAATGGATATCAATTCACTAGAGTCGGTGCAGCGACGAATGACGAAAATGATTCCGGGACTTAGAAACCTTCCATATCAGGATAGGTTAAAGAAACTTAACTTGCATTCCCTAGAAAGACGAAGAGTGCGGGGAGATATGATAGAAGTATTTAAGTGGGTGAAAGGAATCAATAAAAGAGATATAAATGAAGTTCTTATAATATTCTTCAATCATAGTGATAACACGATACCTCAGTATCAGATATAATCTTATTTCTTTACCTACGAGAAATAATTGTCTTGGTAATATGCGTGAATAAAGATTTAGGACAATAATGAAGAAAATATGGATGTAAGTTTATTTCTTGAAGAAGAACAGTATGAACACCTCCAATGTGAGATCACGAGAGGTGCAATATTAATACATCACCATCATGTATTTAACTCCATAAAAGACGAATATTGAAATAAAATTAAATCGTATATAGATTTGATATATAATAATATTCAAACCGTATTGTTCTTTTATTATTATTATTCACTGCCAGTTGTGGAATATTCTGCACTATTTTTATTTAAATAATTCAAGTTGAAACTATTCTGTTTTTTTATATATTTTTTTATCTTATGGAAAGTTTTCTTGGTGATACTAAAAAAATGGGACTAGAAAGATTGCATTTACACACACACACACACACACACACACACACACACACACACACATACACACACACACACACACACACACATACATGTATGCATCACCAGCCTGGTCGCCTTCTCTCAACTCCACCCAACAATGTCGGCTAGAGAAGGTACAGAAAAGGGCCTGCAGTATCATGCTCGGCACAGACTACTCCGGCTACATCAACACTCTCTCCACCCTGGAAATGCCATCCCTCAGTGACCTCCACCACCAAGCACTAGCAAGGTTTGGCAGTGGACTACTGCACCATCCTCGTCATCGCCACCTCCTGCCACAGGCAATCCCCCACCCACCTCGAGCAGTCCGCCACTACAACAAAATTCAGCCCATAAGAGCCCGCACTGATAGATATAAGACTAGCACCATCCCATCTATTGTTAAAATAATAAACAACTCCTGATTTATGTACTGTACAGCCCTGTAAATGTATTCAACGCATATCATTATGTCTAAATCAAATGTAAGTTTGTATATTTTCAGCCACCGGCTGCAACTCTATTAATAAACCGATCATTATTATTATTATTATTATTATTATTATTATTATTATTATTATTATTATTAGTGTTATTATTATTATTATTACAAGCACACACACACACACACACACACTGGGCCACCAACAACCACGTCACCATCAACCATACCAAGACCATGGTATACACATCAACCTCTCCTCCGACGTTGTCCCACCCCTTTCCATTACTTTAGGTCCCAACACACTCCAGGCTGTAGATTCCACTAAGCTCCTCGGCGTCACCATAGGCAACAAACTAAATTGGAAACCACACGTCAGTGAAGTTGTTAAATCCTCCAGTTTCCGTCTCCACCTCCTCCGCCGACTCAAGTCCCTCTGAGTTCCTGCACCCGAGCTCCTCAATGTTTACTCAACATTCATACTTCCCAAGCTCACCTATGCCTCCCCTAACTGGTCTTCCTCCCTAAATGCCACACAACGTAAACACCTAGAAAAAGTGCAAAAGAGGGCATGCAAGATTATCCTCTCCCTTTCCTACTCCACATATCAAGAAGCGCTCAACACACTGACCCTTTCGACTCTCACTGACCATCACCACGACCTCATCTGCAAATTTGGTAAGAAGCTTCTGCACCATCCTCCATACCGGCTCCTACTACCACCTGAGATCCCTAGCCCGAGAATTGTTCGACACCACAACCGCATCCAGTTCATACGTGCACGAACTGATCGCTTTAAGAACAGCCCAGTCCCAACCATTGTAAAAATTATCAATACCTTGTAAAAGACCAGTGTATTCACTCCCAGTAAACACTACTCCCAGCACTGTCACTGTGTTGAAATGCCCTGTAGTTTGAGCTTTTCCCCATCAGTTATTATATATCTTATTTGTATCACTTATGTTATTTGTATATTATTTGTAAATCGAAACCCATTCCCCAATTATGTAACTGTATATTTTCAGCCTCTGGCTGCTATGCTCTTTCAGTAAACCGTTAGTATGGATCCAGTCTTAGCTGCTGTTCCACACGGAGTAATAAAGACAGAAAGATTATTGGTACTTGATTTAAACTATTGTATCTATTGTTTATGTTCAACATCATTACTGGTGCCTTTTGTTATCTTTCTACCCAAATACGGTGTATCTTTATTTCTCCCTATGAGTCCAACAAAATGGAGCATCCTACATATATATCAACATGAAATAAATATTATGTTATGTATTATACTAAAATTAATTATCTAACAACCATAATACAACAACTAAATAGTAACACAGCGAGAAGTGAGTCAGTCAGCCGCGATCGACTGGTTGGAAGGAAGTTTCATAACTTGGTCTGACAAGATATAGACTAGAAGTTATTTTCGTCAATCACTTCACGAGTGAATACTATCCTAACAAAGATTGGTTGACGGTACATTCTAATCTCTATGAATCGGTTGGTACATTGGGGTATTTATGCAACGGAAGAAAGGCCAGCTTTTCTCACTATATGGATAAACAATGATGCCACGCCCGAGGAAGGAGCTGACGAAGCCAAAGGTGCCGTAACTAATTATGTGGTGGTCACCGAATGATAGCAGCGCCAAGTCCACGGACGAGAAGGAACCTGGAAGTAGAAGAAGTGGAGATGAAGCTTATAGACGCACTGAAGACAGGAGAACCTGTAACAAGTAAGGTCAGGTTAGTAGCAGAACAAGCGTCACGACCACCACACCTGCACCACTACACCAACGTCACCGCCCCTACACCAACGTCACCACCCCTACACCAACACCACCATCAACTCAAAACCACCACCACCACCACCACCACTACCACCACCACCACCACCTACCACTTTGCTGTCACTCGGAATCGAGTATGACGATCATCCAGCTATGATACAATGATATGAGTTATTAAGGATGTCACCTAGGTTGGTGAGTTTTAAAGTGACTAAAGAGGCCGATACAGGACCGGCAGAGTCGTTCACAGATGTTGCACATGTGGATGGCTCCATCTAGTGCGGGATGGGCGGCGGCAGCGTCTTTCTGGCGCTGGCGCTTGTCTGCCTCGGTTTGCAGTTGGGCTAGTTCGAAAGTAATAGTCTCCCAGGTGAGGGGGTCGATTTGGCACTTTTTCAGGCTTGTCTTAAGACTATCCTTATACCTTTTCAGTTGCCCGCCAGCTTTACGTTTACTATTCGTTAGATGACTGTAAAATAGCTGTTTTGACAGTCTATTGTCGTCCATGCGGGTAACATGGCCTGTCCAGCGTAGTTGTTCATGGATAATGGTTGCCTGGTTGCTCCTACAGTTGGTGTCAGCGAGAATATTGGCATTTGTTCTCTTGTATTCCAAACGAGCTCGGAAGGTGGAACGTAGACTATGTTGGTAGGGTGTGTCATAGGAGGGAAGATCAGCTAAAACTAATGGCCCATCACTTTTTTGGTAGATTTTAGTGTATATAAACAGAAAATAATTTCAGTTTCAATATTTTGCAACCTTTTGCTAGGTAAATTTTAGCGTGAAATTTATCGAAAATCTAACGTACAGCTGCATTAGTGCATTACAATTAAATAGTGAACATTGCTTTCTGACTTCATTCTTTAACAACCCAACTAACAATATTTTTTTCTGTTTCAGATTCTGATGCATTTATAAGTTGATAATATTTGCGATGGCTGCTTGTGTCAGGACGAGGAACCAAAAATCCAGCCATCTCAGTCACTATCTTGGGTCTGGGAGAGAGCTCCTGAAGTCGGAGTTGCCTACATTGAGAGATGCTTTGAGATACGGTGTTTTAATCAGGCAAATCAGTGAAAAGAACCAAAGAACTTACACAAACAAAGACATTGCCAGTGATATGACCAAAGCTGTCTTGGCACAGTACACTCTGGCTAACAGCTCAGTTCAAGCCTCCAGTCATAACAAGTCAGAAGAAGATTAGTGAGAGACTGCCTAGCCAGTTGGGAAAAGGCAAGAGATATCTCTCTTGGGAGAAGAAAACTTGCAGTTAAGGACAGCTTTGCCAAGCAACTGGACCAGTTATTTGACATAATTACTTGCAAGTGCCCAATTGTTCTCTGTCCTGAGTTTGGATGCGATCGTGACTGTAAATCCGAGGCCCACATCTCCTGTATTTGCAAGCGTGAACTGAAGATTCCTGTGATCGAACTGGCATTTGTCAAAGCACAGAGAGAAGACTGGCAGTATAGGGGCTCTCATGATTTCTAGCCAAGATATTCCGGAGTTCAAGAGACAGGAGGCTGCCACAGAGAGACAGAAGAGGAGAAGAGTTGCCGAGGAAAAGAGACTTGAGAAGGCCCAGGGTGAGGTAAAAAAGGCCAATGATTGGAGTCAAGCTGATTCAGAGTTTAATGACTTCCCATGGCTGATCCGAGTGCTGACCAGGAGAATGGTGACTTTGTCCCTAACCCAGAAAATAATGATCCCAAACCTTCCGGGCATAAGATTCGAAATAGGAAAGATATCCCGAGCATAGCTCTGGCCAGCATGCGACACCACACTGGTCTCAGAGAAACTGCAGAGATAGCAACAGCTGCCTGGATTGACGGTGGTTTGATAACACCTGATGATGTTCACCTGGTGATAGATCATAACAAAGTAAGGAGAGCTCAGGAGAAACTTGTCAGTAACCTAGAAGAGGAGTTTGATAAGGGGATAAGACAAAATGGAATCAATTGTTTGTTATTTAATGGGAGAAGGGATGACACTAAAGTGTTCATGAAAGTTGGAGATTCTGACAAGTTGTTCCCTGCCATGGTGAAGGAGGAACACTACTCCTGCTGCAGTGAACCAGGAGGGAAGTATTTGTGGCATTTCACTCCAGAGAAAGATGACATCAGGAAACCAGCTGAGATAGTGGCAGATAACATTGTGAACTGGCTCAGAGAGAGGAACGTAGACCAGACCCTGCAGGCCATTGGAGGGGACAGCACCAACACGAACACAGGGTGGCAAGGGGGGTCATACAGTGGATAGAGCGGAAGATTGGGAGGAAGCTGGTCTGGATTGTTTGTGACCTCCACACCAACGAGTTGCCACTCAGACATCTGATCCAGGAGCTGGATGGCAAGACTCTTTCAAACAACAGATGGTCTGGTCCTCTTGGCAAGATGCTGGACTCTGCCACTGAGTTAGAAATAAATCCGAGCTTTGAAAAAATCACAGTTGGCCCTCCACTCATTGAGCTTGCACATACTGTCATTGACGACCTGAGTACTGACCAGTACTATGGTTACATGATTTGCAGTGTCATCAAAACTGGGGTCATGCCTGATAGACTTGCTTACCTGCAGATAGGTCCAGTCTCACATTCTAGGTGGCTCACAACGGCTCTCAGGTTCTGCAGAATTTGGGTCGCGCATCATAAACTGAAAGGGAACCAGCTTCACAACCTGAGACTTATTGTCCAATTCATCGTGAGTGTCTACTTGCCAAATTGGTTCAACACCAAGGTCAAGTCATCAGGTTCTCCGAAGGTCCGAGGTATGTTCTCTCCAGCTTGAGCTCCTGAGGAGTCAGCCAAGGAAGGTTGTTCAGATTGTGGAGCAGACTGTGAGGAGATTTCCTGGTATGCTCTGAGGCAGTTCTGCAGACAATGCTCTGCAGTAAGGATGAGGAGGAGAGAAGAGTGGCAGTCAAAAAGATCTTGGATATGAGACTTATGAGAGGATCTGGGCATGACGAATCAGTTGGTGACGATTCCTTCAGGGTCAGGAAGACTCCTGAAGTCAATCTAGGTGCCAAGACCCTCACTGATCTCATAGATCTGGATAACATCCAGGCTGGCAGTGAGCCCCCTTACCTGCAGCCTCACCAATGTTCAAGTCAGAGCTTTCCTGGACAACCCCATGCATGTCCCTGCCTGGCCCTCGCACACCCAGAGTATAGAGCGTTGTGTACAGCAAGTGAGCGAGGCCAGCAGTCACGTGTACAGCCAGGAGAGGAGGGAAGGCTACATCCGAGCTCAGGTGGTCAGCAGGGAGGTGATGAGTAGAAACAGAAGCAAGAAAGACATGTTCTCTATGGTGTGCAGCAACACCGGGTCGTAGTAGTAAAACCGGTTTTTGTATTTGATGATTTTGTTTTCTAAAGGAATATTAGATTTAATAAATGTGTCAAGATCATTCGTTTCACTATTCTGGATCATTTTCACCCTAATAAATTAACCTGATACATTTACTTTACTTTAAATAAGCTATTTAGTGGTGTTGGTAAAAGGGTGGGAATACTGAATTTTCATAAGATTTCAAGTTAAAATTGACCTAGCAAAAAATAAAAACTTTTCAAATCTGAAGATATCACATGATTCTGCACATAGAACTACATCATTAATACCATGGGCCGATTTTTCAAACTCAAAAAAAAATATTCGCCTCCGTATGACACACCCTGCTATGTTGGTGAAAGTTTTCAAGTGCCTTAAGATGCCTCCTGTAAGTAATCCATGTCTCATTGCCATATAGCAGGGTGGGGAGGACCACTGCTCTATATACGTGCAACTTTGCAGATAATTTCAGCTCCCTACAGCTGAAGACATAGGTACGGAGTCTGCCAAAGGCTTGAGATGTCCGCGGTGGTGGACAGGTGGAAGCCGAGATACTGAAATTGGTAACATCAGATGATTAGAGAGGGTTGTACCATTAAGCTGGATGGATGGTGGAGGTGTGGCTAAACAAGGGGCCACCTGAAAGAGAATCTGATTCTTACGCACATTCTCCTCAAGGCGGAAGTGTGCATACGCATCTGCATTGGTATTCAAGATCTCCTGCAGGTCGCGTTCAGTGTGAGCGACAAGGGTGAGCTCATCTGTATACTGAAGTTCAGTAATGGAAGGTGCCGATACCTTTGTTACTAATTGAAGTCGTCTTATTTTGCAATGATCCTACATCCTGTACTCTAAGTCTACTCCGCCGGCTAAATTGGCACCAGCAAGAGTAAGGAAGGCAGCAAAGAAAATGGAATAGAGAGTTGGCGCCAGTACACATCCTTGTTTTACTCCCGTTTGTATGGGGAAGAACTCAGACTGGGTGCCATTGTGCAGGACACTGACGTTCATGCCGTCGTGGAGTTGCCTCACAATGGCGATGAATTTTGTTGGGCAGCCAAACTGGCTGAGGGTCCTCCAGAGGGCTTCCCTGTTGACCAAGTCAAAGGCTTTGGTTAGGTCGATGATGGCCATGTACAGGTCACGACGCTGTTCTCTGCACTTTTCCTGTATCTGATGGGCAGCAAAGATCATGTCAGTGGTGCCACGTGATGGTCTAAAGCCACACTGAGATTCTGGGAGGAGGACTCGGGCGATAATCTTGCCAGCAACAGACAGTAGCGAGATCCTGCGGTAGTTGCCACAGTCTGACCGGTCTCCCTTGTTCTTATAAATATTGACGATGGAGGCGTCTTTAAGAGCTTGTGTGATTTCCTCCTTTACTCACATATTCTCCAGGAGAGAGTGGAGATGGCCAATAAGCAGAGGTCCTCCTGCTTTATACCCTTTGGTTGGGATTCCATCAGGCCCTGAAGCTTTGTTATTTTTCATCTGTTTGATGGCAGTAACTACCTCATCCAGGGATGGAGGATAGCTGAGATGGGTCATCTCTGG